AAATAATCTTATTCACCATCCTACATCCAATGTGGATTTTAACCCATGTTTTAAAAGCTTCTCCTCTTAAAAAAGTAGACCCTGTTTCCCAGGAATTCACTAATTATTGGAGCCTAGATGTCTTTCAGGGTTTGCTGACTTCCACTGTACTCTCCACTGAGTCTGTGAGTTGGAAGCAGACATGGTCTCTGAGGATGCTGTTAGGTCCGTTCATCCCCAAAGAAGCTGAGGAGAGACAAAACCCCCAATGCACCTGATCCTGCCCCCTCTAGTGGCATGAACAGTAGCATATTTCCAGCAGGCAGCACTAACCCAACTGAGCAAGGGGAGCAAATTCAGACAGTCCCTTCAGGTCTGATTCCTTGTTTCAATCTAGTTAGATCAGAGTTGACCAGCATTGCATTGAACTTGGTTGCTTTGATTTCCTTTGTTGTAGGAACAAAACTATAAAAGAGAGAATGGAACAGAGATGCTTCTATAATGAGCGTTGGAGTGGTCAAGGAAATCTATATTGGACAAAAGATCCATTTATCAGTGCCATGAAAATCCTTTGAATAACCACAATGGTTTTTCTCTTTAAAGTTTTTTATCCTTGTGTACCAAGGTAATAGGTATATCTCTAAAGGTTAGATAGATTTTTACACACAATGAGGAGAGACAAAAATATGTTTTCCAAGATAAAATTAGAAATAGTCATTACCATTTGGGGGGTGAGTCATTATTTCAGGTGTCTTTTCATCATCATTTTATTTAATTATAAGAACAGCCCAAGGAGCTAGATATCATTTGTTTTACAGATAAAAAAAGTAAGCTTTAGAAGGTAGTAAAGTCAGATTTGGAACCCAAAACCTAATCTGAACTCTGCTTTCTTTCTACTGTACTGGACTGCATCTGCATGTGAGAACAAAGATTTTCTGTTTAATGAGAAAATAGAACAATTCTTTTGTGTTGGTCTCTGGGTTGTCAACCACAAATTAGACTGGCAATGCCTTTCAAAGGATGACGCACTACATAATGATTCAAAAAGGAAGTGTTCTACTTATAAGTTGCCTGAAAATCATGTATTTTGCAGATACTGATTAAGATACCAGCAATTTCAAGGGCTAGAGAGAGCATTGTTTTGACTAGTGTTAACATACTGCTCTTGGCTTGAGGGAGAATGTTCTAGGGAGTCCTAGACATTCTAGAGACAGACTGACTCGAAAATACATATTAAAGTTGGGGTGGGGGGACTGGGGACATGGGGAAGTGAGAAACAAGGATACATAACAGAATCCCAACTCTAAAACCTACAAAAACTGGTTTCAATTTTCAGCTTTTTCCATACTCAGAATCATAGGAGAAAAATGACTTTTAAGTCATAAAAACCAACATCTTCAAGTCCAGGAATCTATTATCATCGGTTTTCCAGAATAGTATGATATTTATGATTAAGCATATTGCCTACCACAACCCCATTGCCGCCTGACTTCAAACTACTGACGTACATAAGATTTAATCTCAGCCTTCCTCTCACTTGGTGAAGCCTTCTCTACCATTCCCCAGATAATGCCACTAATATCAAGACTTTAATCATCACTTACAAACTGATGACTCCTAAATCTTTTATCTCTGACCTTGACCATTTTTCTGATTTCCATTTCTTTATTTTACTTCTTTAGCAAGATAACTCTGAGTTACCACAAGCCCAGTTACCCAACACTGAATTCATGGGCTTCTCTTCTTATCCCTGGACACCCCTGCCCACCGTATCACCACTCTTTGTTTATGGTACCACCAGCCTAACAGGCGCCCAAATACAAATCCCTGGAATCATCCTGGGCGCATTTCTCTTTCACTCCACTTACCCACCCCTACTATCATCTCCCTCTGGCTTATTGCTGCCCCCTTCCTAACTGGTGTTCTATCTCTCTATTCCATACTCCAACCCCACTCCCTGCTTTCCAAGGAGGGAGAGGAGCCAGAGGTTGAATGGCCAGTGATTTAATCAATCTGCCTATGTAATGAAGTCTCCACAAAAACCTAAAAGGAGGGAGTTCAGAGAACCTCATGGTTGGTGAACACGTGAGATTTAGGGAGAGCAACATTCTTGTAGAGAGCTTGGAAGCTCTGCTTTCCATCCCTATACCTTGCCCTATACATCTCTTCATCTGGCTGTTCCTGAGTTATGTTTATGTGATAAACCAGTAATCTACAAGTAAAATATTTCTCTGAATTCTGTGAGCCACTTTAGCAAATCAATCAAAACTAAGGAAGGTCATTGGAACCTGCAACCTGTAGCAGGTAGTCAGAAGCATAGATAGCAGCCTGGACCTGTGATTGGCACCTGAAGTGGGGGAGGAGAGTCCTGTGGGACTGAGCTTTTCACCTGTGGGATCTGATGCTATGTCTGGGCCGATAGTGTCAGAATTGAGTTAAATTGTAGGACACTCAGCTTGTGCCAGAGCATTGCTTATAAGTGGGAAGACCGCACTCCCATACACAGAAATTGAGGCTCAGAACAATTACTCCCTTTCTAAAATACAAGCTTGAGAGCACCGATTGAGCTCTATTTACCTTTGCATTCCCAATACTCAGAACATGACAAGTAGTTAAGCTTTTATTGAATTGAATATCCCCAAGCTGAGTTCTGCTTAATAACTTTCATGCATTTTAGACCTACCTTTTAAAACTACCCAAAATGTGTCATTCTTTCACTGGACATTTCTTGTAATACTTAAAAACAACATTCCTATTTTCCCAGAAATCTTCTCTTTTCCTGATGTATAACTGCAAATCCTTCCACTCTTTCTGACTTTATGCTCAGTACATTTCCAGATCCTAGTCACCATCTTTTGGAGACAACTTCTCAATCAGTGCCCCTTTTAGGACCAAGTGTGAATATCAGGACATGGTCTGAGATGCATGGGGACAGTAACCTCCTTGGGTGTCCCTGCATGATCTGCTCTTATAATGTATCCAAAAGCTGTACGTTTTCTTAGTTGTCATATCCCCTTGTTGGCCCAGAACAGGATTCTGAAAACAGTTTTGATTGCTTGAGATGATTTTTTTCTCTAATCATGCAGCCCTCCTGACACAGCATGTATGAGATCAGCAAACTTGGAAAGCAATGTAGTCCATAGTTTCTTATTTCTGATTTGACATACACTGGATGGAAACCAAGATGTCTGAGAAAAATCAGCCTGTTCCTTAACCTTTTTTGCCACATTAGTCACATTTTTCTTATTTCTGTTTCCTCTTAATCTGCATATCCATACACACCTGCCCACTCACAGCAGCCCACACAGACATCATTTTCAGATTTTGGCAGAGGTGCATGCATGCAGATCACAGGTTGAGGCAATGTATAACTCATGAGAACTGAGTGGCATAAGTGAAAACAACTCAAACTTTTAGGTGAACAAAAAAAGAGGTGCTATTTCAAAAGGTGGCGACTTTGAGGAATTGTGAAGGTGGGCTTGTGAAGGCCATGCTACCACCTCCTCCTTGAGGTGGTTCAATGACCCTGATCAGTATAGACCAGTTCTTTGGACTGGAGTCTATAGTCCAGTCTTTGGACCCTAATACTGCCCACAGACTGACCTCTCTGGTTTCTAACAGATCTATCTACAAGTTTGCTTAAATCTTTAATCTTTCATGGCCATAGACTTCTAAAGGTTCAGCCTGGTGTTCATGGCAAGATTTGGAAACCACCTCGCCAACCAAGTGCGGACAGCATTGAGCATTTTCAGCCCAGTAGTTTCCCCACTTATACTCCTACCTTAAGTTGCCAAAGCTCTGGGGAGGCTGTGCCAAAAGGAAGACTATTTGTGTCGAAAAGGAAGACTCCTCTGAGAGTTTCCTTCACATTTGGGTTCCCCTGGCTGCCACTGCCTCATCAGCTCCTAGGTCAGAGCCAGCCAAAGCACGCACTCAGTGAAGGTGTACGGCTGAAATGTAACCGAGCCTCTTCTGGAATCTGATCAGTGTGCTTTCAGTGATTTTTCTCAGCAAGAACAGAGCAATATTAACCCCATAGTTATTTATTTATCCAACAAATATTTCATGCCTCCTGTTATGGACATATCCTCTGCAGGGTGGAAAAATGATAAGTGGTCCCTGCTGTTAAAAAGTAGCATCATGGAGAAGACCGAGAATGAATAATAAAAATAAATAATTAAATACTGTGAAATGTTTATGGAAGCCCTGCAAGAGAAGACAGAGAACTCTGTGACAGGTGAAAGGGGACACTGTCCATTAGAAGTCAGAGGAAACTCTCTCGAAGGTGATGTTTATAGTGAGACATCAAGGATACTGAAAAAGAGCAGAGGGAAGAGCATTCCAGGGTGAGAAAAGAGCCTGTGTGGAGCCCCGGGACAGATTATCTCCTGCTGTATAACGAACCACCCCACACTCAGTGACCTAAAGCAACCAGTAATGCTCGTGTGTCCTGCAACCGGGATTGCTCACCTCTGCTCCACAAAGAATGGGGAATTATCTGGGAAGACGCAAAATATCAAGGTGACCCAGTGTGGGTAGGGGCTGAAATCAGCTGGCGTTATTAGGACTTCACTCCCATGTCTGACTCTTGTGCTACTATGACTTGAAGCCTCGGCTCAGCTGAAACTATGAAGCTGTTGGCTTGGATGAAGAATGCGGCAGTGAAGACGGTGATCACTGGGTATAAAACAGGGTTTGAAGGTAAAACTGACAAGACTTGATGAAGAACTGAACGTGAGTATGCAGGGAACTGAAGGTGTGAGGGATCACTGCCAGGCTTCTAGCTTGAGAAACTATTGGTGTTATTTATCGGGGTGGAGAAAACAAGGATACACACAGATCGGGGCAAGAAGAAGAATGGAAATCAAAAGCTTTATTTTGGATAAGTAAAGTATCTTCTGAACTTTCCTCAAATGGAGTTTAGCAAATCTCCCTTAAGAAATCATCCAAAATGAAAAAGGCTACCCTAATTGTTATTCACATTTCTCACATTTAATACAAGCCGAGTAAAAAGAAATTACCTGAAACTACGGAAGACAAATGCCAAGAAGGTCACATAGAACTTCCAAGCCCTCTGTGGACCCTTCTTTCTCATCCCCAGTTGAAGGTGGACTCTGAGTATAAAAGTATATAGTAAAAGTTGTGTTTTCAATTAAAAAATAATAGTAAGAGACTAACTTGCTTGAGTATTAATCTCACTTTATGAAAGAAGAAATACCATTTATTTTAAGGAACAAGTAAATCCAGTTGGCCCAGGAAAATAATTGGAATAATATTAGAATTCTGCAAGTATCTGAGAAAGAATAAAACTCTCAAGTAGAATTCAATTTCAATTGGAGCATAGTTTCTTTATAACAACAATAGTTGTTCTCTAATGAAATATTTAACAAAACATGGGGAAAGTTATGAACATTGGGGAAAGATTGGCCCCATACATTGTAATCTGTAGTTTTCTCTGAAAAGTAGATAATCCTATATAATAGTTGGGTCTATACATATAAGAAATATAGAGAGAGCTCTAATTTAACCCTAGAAAATTAGATTGATAAGATACATAATAACTACCAGGAAATGTCTTAAACCCTTCAGCAAAACTTTGTGTGTATATGATTCTCAACATTTAGACTGAAAAATGAAAACAGAAGGCATTAAAATATTTTACGAAGCCACATCTGGATTTTATACTGATTTTTCCCATTTTAGTATGTAATTTTGGCTTTGTTTATCATGCATACCTTGATGTCTAGATAATGGCAAACATTTTTAACAGAGTAAGTGTGTCTACATTGTTATTATGGCAGTGTTTCACAGAGGAAATTTAAATGTCTACTCTGTTTATAAACACTACTTATGCCCTAAGGAAGAACATGTTTTAAGTAAAAGTCTTCTGTTTGACTTCTGGTAGATAAGTACCTTTTTATTAAACATAATAATAGCTAATTATTCTTGAGATCTTTCTATGTGTTGGGTATTATGCTAAGTAATTGAAATGATACTCTTTTTAATCCAAATATGACTTATTAGATATGTGCTGTTTCTATACACAGATGATTAAAAACTCAGTTTTAGAGATTGTATTAGTCAGCTACAGCTGCTATAAGAAAATACCTGTCTGGGTTTCTGAAACAGCAGTAATTTATTTTCTCACAGTTCTGGAGGCCAGAAGTCCAAGATGAAGGTGCCGGGAGGGCTGGTTTCTGGTGAGACCTTTCTTCCTGGCTTGCAGATGGCCACCTGCTCGCTGTATCCTCACATGGCCTTTCCTTGGCTCACACAGAGTGAGCTCTGGTATCTCTTCCTCTTCATATAAGGACACCAGTCCTATCAGATTAGGGCCCCACACTTATGATTTCACTTAATTTTAATTACCTCTTTAAAGCCCTGTCTCCAAATATAGTCACATTAGGGGTTAGGGCTTAAACATATTTGGGGGGAACATGTGCAGTCCAACACATAGAGATATTAAGAAACTTACCCAAAATCACATACTTAAGAAATAGGGGATCAGGTTTGGAATCCCAGGCAGCCTAACTCTGGAGCCCTGAGCCTCTTAACTACTATTTTATATTTTCACTCACTTAGCCTTATATGTAATATCTCTCTCTGTCTTCCAGAAACCTTGGCAGAGTGCACAAAAGTTAGGAGTAAATACAGTTGACAGAAATTAATTTAGGTCAAGTAATATAAAGGCATGTGTCATATACTCATCCAATAAAATTTGGTCTTTGGTGCTATGTTAAAGATAATGTGTGTGTGTGTGTGTGTGTGTGTGTGTGTGTGTGTATGTGTGTGTGTGGCCTTTTTTTTCAATTGACACAAATTAAGCAACTTACTTCAGTATGTATGGCATATTTTTAATCTTCAAGAATCCTGAGGAAAGTACCACAGTAAATGTAACAGTCCATCTCAGTAGCACAATTTCTGTATCTTGGTTAATAATCTAAGGAAATGAAATATCAACATTATGTTAAGTAAACTCTAAGTCAGCCACACCTTGGGAGTTGTTATGAATGGTGCCCAGGAGAAAAAGCCAGTATGCAAATAGTTATAATATCAAGATATAGTCAGGAAATTATAGCACAGATGAGACAAACTCATATATCCATGAAAGAATATAAATGGAGATCACGTAAATGACAGTAAATACAAGCAGCAGGCATACTGGAACAATGATAATACTTCTTACCTGTGCATTTGAGAATTCTTTACACACAGTAAATGGATTTTTTAATGCAATAAAATAAAAAAGCACAGGGAAAGATGGCGGCATGAGTAGAGCAGTGGAAATCTCCTCCCAAAAACACATAGAGCTATGAAAATATAACAAAGAAAAATCTTCCTAAAATAGAGACCACAGGACACAGGACAACATCCAGACCACATCCACACCTGCAAGAACCCAGCGCCTTGTGAAGGGGTTGCTGCTGTTGTTTTGGTTTGGAGAGTGCTTTTTGGAAATCTTAAAGGGGCAGGACAGGTCACTTAGACCAGAAGCAGGGAATCTGGGGATCTCTGGGCACTCTAACCCCCTGGGCAGCAGGGAGCACAGAGGCCCCTTACGGAGATAAATAG